ACCCCCATGAAAAGCTCCCTACAGCAAAAAAAACAGGTAAGAACATGCGTTGGGGTCGAGTACTTACATGGGTATAGAAAACGTTTGTCGCCAACTGTTCCCTGCTTTGCGTTCAATTCGCAAATGCAACTTGCCAATCCGTACTTCAGCAGACTCTACATTCATTTCCGGCTTGCTGAAATCGACGGTGATACCTATTGGATATATTCAGTGAGGTTAATGATACTGCTTAATGATAAGAGTTGAGTACCGTAGATGTGGAGAGGGGAGGAAACCGTCGAAGCGTGAGCCACGCTGATTTGGGTTAGAGAAGATTCCACTCTGAGCTACCGCAAATTCATCTAGAGGTTGGGTGCAAGCCATGCATCAGCTGCAAGGAAGTGAGGTACCGGACGTTAAGACGTTGATAATTGGACGGTAGTGTTACAAAAGGCTCGTAGATGAATATTGTGTTCGTGTTTACATTTCCTTGAGAACAAGAGCCTCACGCAGCCCTCGCCAAACACATCCTCACGACTGTCTCAACCTGTCACGGAATATACCCGTCACTTGGGCATCGGAGGGTAAGGCAAAATTACACACCTGGTTGAGGCTAACAGGCTGTGTCTTTGAACTCATTGCCGGTGTCCCACCTTGGCGGTACTCGCGTTTGAGACGGAAACCAGTCACCTGTACCAGTTGTCATGTCTAGCAGGGTCAACGGAAATAAGAAGACTGACGTCTTTGATCTGGGATGTCGTGTTATTGTCGATCCGTTCTGCGTCGAGCCAGATTTGAACATTCTTGTCACTCTGCTCATTTGCGACGTATATGTCTTCGACAGTGAAGGTGTTGACCTGAGCGGAAGATGACAAACGGCTGTACAAGCTCTTGCTGATATTGCCGGTTGTTTCTTTTTGCTCCTTAGCTAATGTGCAAACTTCGTTTGTATGTTTGACAACTAGGGCGTCGATGTCAGCAGTTTCTAAAATACTGCCGGTGAAAAGCTCGATCAATGAATTGACGTCAGAAAGGGGGAAGAACCTCCCCCTATTCAACATACAGTTAGTCGAAGCCTCAAATGTACAATTGAAATCTCACCCTGTCTTCTGAACAATGCCTTTGTAGAAGTCGAGGGGTGTCTGAGTTGTTCATCAACGTTACACTTAGAATGTTGAAGACGATTGTAATATGCTTACCGAAAAGTCCATGCTCATCGTAGATTCACACGCCAGTACATGCTATTATCGACGTAAATGTCCGTGACTGGAAATCGTGAAATGACGTACCAATGTTATACCGAGCCTAGCCATCCTATTAACAAGACGCACAGGGTCGTTCTCTGTTTATAGTTAGATGTTGAGATCATTAAACAATAAGTAACGTACGAAGTGGACATCCACTGGGGAATCCATCTTCATCCTCCCCTATACCATGGGGTGGTGAATCTGTGATAAGTATAGCGACCTTGGTGGCTTCGTCCTTCCATCCCACATTCAAGACACGAGCGAACGCATCACACTGAGCTTCGGGTCCGTCACCACCACCATCCGCTTGCAGATTCGCTAGATTCGCCTTGACAGCCGAAACGTTAGAGTCGAAAGGGTATTGACGGGTGATGTGCGTGGAATCTTGCGGGGGGTGGTCGCGGAATGCTATAAGTCCAAATCTTAAATCACCACCTGACCATTTTCCAGTCGCAACAAGGCGTTCGCACAGCGACTGGATGGTGTCTTGCACTTGTTCGATATAGACTTGCATACTACCCGTCGCATCGAGGAGGAAAACTATATCTCTGCGAATGACCTATTTAGTATCAGTGATTCCTGAAGACAGGAGTATGTCTTACAACTTAGACGTCGTAGCGCTGGCCCAACTTTTCAAGGTCGAAACAGAAGGAACAAAAAAGTATTCTCCTCCCCTCGAAGTAACAAAGAAAGGGTTCGGCTCACCGGGCGGTGGAGCTGCACCCTTAGGGGTAACCCGAGCGAATCCGGACACCTCGAACGTTGCACCATCCTCACCGGCGAGTTGTAGGTTGATTTTATCCCCAGATTTTACTGAGGGAGATTTGCCTTTGATTTCAGCAGTTGTATACGCAGGAGGGCTACCAAGGACAGGGTCCTGACCTAATTGGGATCGGAATCAATGGGTTAGAGTGATATACAAACGATGAACTTCGTTAAATTAGTTACCCTTCTTTAGTGGCACCAGGGATGTTATGGGCCAATAATCATTGTCCGCGTATCCAACTGTCTGACGAACGAATCCTGAGTCCAAACTGGACATATAGCAATTGAACAGAAGCCCGCGAGGTAACTCATCACTTCCGCTTGCTACATCGCGTCGTTCTTGATCAGTAACCTAAGAGTAGGAGATAGCAAAAATCAGGCGGAATAAAAATGCACAAAGCCTATGACTCTTCTCACCTCACCGCCATACGGAAGCCCTCCACGTACGATCGAACCCGATTCAAGGAATTTGGCGTCGATGTAAGGATTCAAATTACGCGGCGCGGTCTTGCGTGTGTGTGCAGTGAATGGGCAATAGTAATCACTGGGTTCATGCCGTGATATATTCGGATTGTCGCGAACGACGTAGTCAAAGTCATTGTTGCGGTTTGGGTCGAGTGCCACAGCTTGATTGTCGCGGAAGGGGCATTTAGCAAGGGGTGCACCCTGTCACAGACACGTGTTCAATGAGCCCAATGAATCAGTATAAATTGCATCGCCGAATCGCACCGATTTCCACCTTCCAATAAGCCGTGCCCCGAAGAGATCTTCAGCTTCTTGTGTGTTGAGCGGAGGAGATATATCGCCTCCAGGAATGAACTCGCGCCAACGAGGTCCATTCCTCTGCACATAATCTTCGAAAGAGATAACGGATTGCTCGAGCTTCCTGAACACCAAAATCGTTCCATCCTTGGTCCAGGCTGGACGTTTCGCCCTGTTAGTCGGATCATCCCGTACAGGATCGCCTGGATAACCCATTATAATTACTCCAGGATCAACTTGAATTTGGCCTGCGCGAGGAATAGCAAGACCCCTGACGGAATGTTGAAGTCCTACTGTACAGATGTGATGTCCGGGAAATACTCACCGCAGACAAGGTTGGGATATTCCATCTTGAAAGCCGAAATGCTCATGCCCTTTGTAAGGGGGTGGTCGAGCCCTCCCTTCCACTGACTTGTCGCCGGCAACCGTTATTGATGAGCCAAACAGGGCTATGACATCGTTTGAAGCTTTGGTGCAAGCCTCGGCGCCTTCACAGAACATGCATCAAAAAGATCAATTCCTTCAAAACAACAAGCACTCACTACTTCCGGCGACAGTAATGACGCCATGCAGAGCTCCAGCATCGTCACGCACTGATCCATTCACTGCATCAGGGTTTGTTTTGACAAATATAGGGTCCCAGTCTCTTTGGTCGCCAAGGAATTGCTTGTCGTCACTCATGCAGCGCTTGTCGAATCGAGCATCTCCAGTGTCCTCGTTCACGCCAAGGAAATACATGCCGGTACGGCTGAATGCAATCTGGTATTGCGTGATGTCGACTGTCGGGACACTGCTTGCATCACGGGCGTTTCTCTTTGCATCGGCGATCGAGCTAAGATTATCTTTCACGTCTTCCGAAGTCGTTGGCTTGAAGGATTGCAGAGCAGTTCTGAACGATGTTACGTTGTTGATCCTGAAAAATACAAAATTTTCGACTTTCTGTTAGAATAAATCGTCAGCGGATATGTTTAAGTATGCTTGAAAGAAGAGCTAATTGAACCGGTCATTTACTTTAGGAAAGAGATAAATCACGTCGCCTTGGACATTGTTCAGATCAGGAAGGTCGACAGTCGCTCGAGCTTGACGTGTGGTACGCGAAATCAAAGGTAAGACTGAGCGACGTCCTAAATGCTTGTAAAGATCAAGAGAATACTGATGATCATCCATTTGGCCCAACGATTTAGATGTGAAGATCGTAAGGACAAAGTTCCCTGAGGAAGATGAAATAAGGGAGAGTGTACATATATGCGCGTCTTATCGATCTAACCAGAAACTGGAGGGCACTGGGTTTTTCGAAAGTCCGAGAAACCGAAGGCTATTCATCACGATAATACGACGATGCATTATGTGAAGGCCTGTGAAGGCCATCCTGGGTGATGAATCTGCATTATCCAAATTCAGTGGTGAACCATCTGAACTGTTTCAGGGCATCCATAATGGCAGCTGTCAGAAGTACCGCTAGTAGGAATGGAAGACATACATGTCCAAAGAGTATACCTGCTGATCGCTGAAGCGTTGATGGACCATGCACCCGGCCGTACAAGAATCGAATTAGAGAGTAGATCAGAAACATTGAATGTGATAAGAGATCCGTCCGGACAGATCTACATGTCGATGGAGGGTACTGCTAGTCGTGCGTCAGGTGTCATGAGGAAGCTCAGCGCTCAGTAGAAGCATAACATTAAGTTAGTAATTATTTATTTTCACAATCGCTGACGTTATGAATCTTAAATCAACCATTTTGCAAAGCCGGCTATCCCAGCTTCCGTGGTTCCAAGTGCAATTCAACAGATCTGTATTTACGTTTTGGAGACGGTGATTGAGGCCTTGAGGGTGGAAGTTCAACAGAAAAGGCTACCATGGGAGGCAGCTGACCTCAAGGCCTCAAGGTTATGAGGTTACCGCCAGTCACTGGTTCAGGTTCTCAGCGTCAAGATTGAATCTCCCTTCAACGATCTAGCCAATGCCCATCATGATATAGATGCGAAATCAATAATCACATCAAAGGTCAAAGATCTTGTAAGATGGATGATGCCAGCACTAACTCCTGAATTCTGACAGGTGGTATGCACAACCCATAACAAACGCATTGAGCAAGAATGAACATCATTCATTTGTTGCAATTATCAAGCCAAAATGGTTGTTTGTATTACACAGACTTCTCCACGAATGGAACACCCTCCAGTCACTCCCTTATAATCAAGGGTATGCCTAGATTCAAAGATAGAAAGTACATCCACTTCTTCAATGGCAAACTTTACAGACTCGTCTTCCCCTTCACTGGGGTATGATACCTATGCTCACTATGCTTGTAACTTAATCCAAGCCTTTGATAATGAGCTGAAGGGCACAGAAACCCTCCCACCTAACATACCAAGGTCATTGACTGCTCCACTGATTCAGAATTGGGTAGCTGATATTAGCTCTGTAGGTCTGGTTGGAATCCTGGATGCAGGTTGGCACTCTCCTGTTTTCATTGTCATTTTGCTAATAATTGCTCTAGTGAATTATCAGACAGCAGCTGATATTAACTCTACAAAACTGGTTGGAATCCTGGGTGCAGGTCAGTGCCATTCTGTTTTAATCATCATTCTACTAATTCAAGTGAAATATCCTAACAGGACCAGGCAGATTATACACAGCTTTGATCCTCCAGGACCTTGGTATTCCATATTGCATCATTGAGGCTCAAGGTAAAGTCAGAGGAAGACTCCTCACATACAAATTCCAAGACAGAATGGGATTGCCCTACAATTATTTCAATATTGGTGCTATGCGGTTCCTGAAAATCAGTTCCATGCAGTGAGTCTTTAACCTCTTTGACTACCCACCTCTCAACAAGGATGGTATCTCTCTCAAGACGAAGGTCAAGCTGTTCTTATTTGTAGGTGGCGGGAACAACAATATCCTATACTCTTATAATGGGGTCACAGTGCAGCAGAATGCAATGCCCCCAAGTGATCCTTTCAAGGCTGACCAGGTGATCCAAGATGTTGGTAACTCAAACCCATACATTGCTGTAGGTGTGAAGGCAATCATGGACGATGTCATTGGTCCCTTTGCAACATGCCTACTTGATGATTTGAAGACTGGAGGGTCAGAAGGTTGGAAATATATGATGAACTTTGACCACTACTTGACTCATGCTTATATGCAGCTCAAGTACATACTGAGCCCGAGCCTTGGTCTACCCAACAAGTCTCTCTCAACAGATGTTATTAACTGGTGTGAGACTTTTGATAAGTCCACTGGCTGGTACGATCGCGCTTTCTCTGAGACTGTCTTAGAGGCTGTTGCTTTCAGTTGGCATCCTGGACCTAACCCACCTCCCATGCAATGGTTTTGCATTGAGTACAGTGGCTCAAAAAACTGTCCGCATGTTTTGACATTATTCACTATCTATGATATTGTGTGAGAACAAACAAATGCCTCAAGGACATGCTTATACCACATTGTAGTATGGCTTCAGGGCTTTCATTTGAGCCCTACACCATGGGAATCGGTGGAGATATGGTGGAGATACAAGGCTCACAAAATGGTGACTCATGTGGACAGTTTTTTGACTCTAGTATTTTGTATGACCTCCCTTGGCTTTAATTACTGCCTCTATCCTTCTAGGCATACTCTCAATTAATTTCTGGCAATCCTCAGCTGTGATCTTCCCCCATTCCACTGCTACTCTCTCCCAAAGCTCCCATACTCCTTTAGGGGGGTTTTCATAGGCTTGAAGCCTTTTCTTGAGTGTTCCCCAGAGATGTTCAATGACATTGACATCAGGAGACTGTGCTGGCCAGTCAAGAACATTGATGTTATGTTCTTCAAACCATTCCTTAGCTCTTCTGGATGTGTGCTTAGGATCATTATCCTGTTGGAAAATGATATCTTCTTCATCAATCCCTGATTCTGCCAAGCTAGGCAGCAAGTGGTCATTTAAAATGTCCACATACTGCTCAGCATTCATCTTCCCCTCAACCTCAGCAAGCATTCCCACACCATTCCATCCCATACAGCCCCATACCATTAAAGAACCTCCTCCAAACTTGACAGTCCCATTAACCTCTCTGTCTGTTAGGCCATCTCCCTTCTTTTTCCATACATATACCTTCCCATCTGACCCAATCCTATTGATTTTGGTCTCATCTGACCATATAACATGCTTCCAGTCCTCTACAGTCCAGTGTTGATGAGCTAAGGCAAAGGCTAGTCTTCTCTGCCTATGTTTGATGGAGAGAAGAGGCTTTTTCTTCTTTGTTACTGCCTTGAGATGAGCTGCCTTGAGAACATTCCTCACAGTTTGTGAAGAGACGGGTGGTGATGATGGAATTGATATAATGGGTGGCTTGGACAGTATTATCAGCCTTTCCTGTAGTGATATGTTGAATAATAGCTGTTAAGAACCATGTTGCTCAAGGGGGAGAGAGACTGACTCAGAGGGGCTTGGCCTCAGCTCATATGCTGTGCCCCTTACCTGAGTATGTGCCCTTCATTTCATATGAGGTCTGATGATGGTCCGACGAAGTCTGGAGGACTTCTGGAGGCTGGCTACTCTGCTGGAGAGCGCTAGAGGACTTCCGGAGGAGTGCAGGAAACATCTGGAGGAGCACGGGAGAGTTCTGGAGGAATACAGGAAGTGCTCAGGAGAGTTCCCACTACAAGGTAATACTTCTACAGGAAACAGGATGGAAGGATAGGAGGTCCAAAGGTCTGGAGGACAGGAGGACAGGAGGGCAGGAGGGCAGGATGATGGAGGACAGAAGGACAGGATGTCTGAAGGACAGGAGGATAGGATGTCTGAGGGTTAGGAGGACGGAATGTCCGAAGGTATGGAGGGCGGAACATCTGAAGGACAGGACATCCGGAGGTCCAGAAGGAATAGGGGCTACATCGGACTTTGTCCAATGTAGAAACAAACAGAGGTGGACTACCCTAAGATAGAGTTGGAGAGACAGGGATTGGACCTAAGTCCGGAAAGAGGGTAAGTGCCAGAAAGGTGGAGCTCCGGCCTAGGGAATCAATCCCTAGGCCTGATGGGTAGGACAGACTTAGGTAGACCAAAGTCCAAGAGAGGATTGGGCAAGTCTAAGTTGATATTCAAACTGAGGAACTACAGGAGTATCTACAGGGGTTATATACTGAACAATATCTGAGGGGATCAGTAAGCAAAGGAGCAAGGCTATGTACGAGCATGTGGAAACACATTAGTAAGTAAGTCAGAACATAAGTAAATGAACTTGGAGATGAGGACTTGTACAAGGATCAATAAGCAAGACAGAACAAGAGGTAACCGAAAGCCGGAAGGCAGAGAATGCCTAAATGGGGATAGGCGCAGGATATTGGACAGAGGGTAGGAATAGGTCCGGAGATCTGGGGATCCGGAAGACAAGGTGGATACAGGACCAGGATATGAGAAGGTGGATAGAGTCCAGAATTCGAGACAAGGTGAAGTCCGAATGTCTTGCTGGATGGAGTGTACATAGGGTGGATGGGACAGGGTTGTATGGATCAGGCTAGCAGTGAGGATCCGATGGTCTGGAGCTCAGGGGTAAATCTGGAGCGTAGTCAATCCTGCTGAGGTGTGGAGCACAGTGGAAGGGGATCTTGGAATGAGCTGGATATGAAGTGGGGCCTGGATGTAGGCTTGGAAGGCATGGGAGTATGATGGAACATGGGTCTGGATTGTGGGATATGACAATAGCCCTTTTGTCAGTAGAGGTAAGCTTGGATGGACGTCTTCCACAAGAGTTTTCCTTGTCTGGGTGGCTTTCTTTGATAAACTTGGCCACAGTGGACTTGCATACTCCAGTTCTAGAGGAAATTTGGTGAGCAGAGAGGCCAGCATAAGACAGAGAGAGGATATTATCTCTTTGAGCAGAGGAGATGGCTTTCATGGTGATTATGACTATGATACATGAGATATTCTGGTTTATATAGTTAGATATAGTCATAAAATAACATAATGACACCACTTCATAATTTATATAATAGTGGCATGATTTTTGTGGTGTCATAAATAATGATTTATATAGTTTTAATATACACTCAAAAAACTGTCCACATGAGTCATCATTTTATAAGCCTTATGTCTCCACCATATCTCCACCGATTCCCACGGTGTAGGGCTCAAATGAAAGCCCTGAAGCCATACTACAATGTGGTATAAGCATGTCCTTGAGGCATTTGTTCATTCTCACACAATATCATAGATAGTGAAAAATGTCAAAACATGCGGACAGTTTTTTGAGCCACTGTATGTATGCACTCTCACATAAATCAAGCCAAGATGACTGATATTTTGCAGTGGTGGTGCCAACGAGATTGTGGTTTGCATGAAACAATATATTTGCAGGAATAATGAAGATGTTATCACATACAACTCCAGAGTGACGGCCATTGGAGTTAAGGAGGATAACTCTGGCATGGATGTTGTTACAAACAACAAGGATCGTCACGAATTCTTGCATGTCATCTCTACTATCCCCTTACCTGTTCTCTGCACCATTGACCTCAGTCAAGCTGGTCTCTCCCCCATGCAATTGAATGCTTTACAAACATTGAACTATGGCCCCTCTGTTAAGATCGGAATGCAGTTCAGAACTGTGGTGGATGACCAGGATGAATTTGAGTGGAAATCCTCTGAATATAGTTGGAGGACAGATGTACACTGATAGACCTTTGCACACTGTCATTTATCCTTCCTTTGGAAGTGTCCAGGCTGGGACAACGACCATGCTTATTGCCAGCTACTGCTGGACAGAGGATGCTACTAGGCTGGGTGCATTGATAGGCAAAGATGACACAATGCTGGTGCAGCTTGTGTTGAAGGAGCTGGTGGACCTGCACAACGTTGATATAACATATCTGCATAACCAGCTGATTGAATGCAAGGGATGGAGTTGGTCCCATGATCCATATATGATGGGTCAGTATCATGCAGCCAAGTCTTTTGATTGTCTCACTTATATTCTTTTTTCAAGGTGCCTTTGCTTTCTTTTGACCTGGAAAGTTCAGAAATCTTTACACAAGCCTCAACAATCCTGCTGTGGGAGGTTATCTTCATTTTGCTGGCGAAGCCATCAGTGTATGGCATGCTTGGGTGGAGGGTGCATTGGATAGTGCTTGGAGAGCTGTCCACAAAATGCTCATTTTCCCCACTTTTCAATCCTACTGAGACAAGTTCTTCGAGAATTGGGGAGTAAATCCTGAATGGGTTACACAGAGTGTATTAAAAGCACCTACTAATTGTCGTGGTGGGGATTCAGAACTCCCCACTTGTGTGCCCAAACTGCAGGATGATCTTGTCTGGGAGCACATCATGCTCACACACCCAGAGCTGTTTAAAGAATAGGCCTTTTGTTACTCAATGTTGTCATGAACTGCATATCTCTGCCTGTTTGCACTGTAACTTGTATCATTATGACAAATGACTGTTTGGTTATGTGTTGTGCATACTACCTGTCTAAATTCAATATTCAAGAGTTAGCAGAACACCACTACAGAGTTATAAGGTCAAGCAACCTGGCACGAGTCGTGGGTGCCCTGTTACGGGTGGTGAGTACTACTGTTCCAAAGTAGAAATCTGGCTCCAAAATTATGTTGAGAACAAGGTATGTGCCACTAACTTCAGGCTAACAGCAGAGCTAGGTCAGCTGCACAGTGCATGTACCTTGTTTTTGGCAGCTTTTACTCACCTCACTCCACTCATCTTACAAGATTTAGGGTCCGGGAGTTTCAGTCACATCTTGATGCCAGAGCTGGGGCATGTCAGCTGGGAAGTGATCTATTCTATATCAGAGTCATAGCTTTAAGGGGCCTCCTCTTTTGAACTCTCACCTTTTCTGTTGGACTTCCACCCTCGAGGCCACAACACCTGCGTCTATGGTATGTATATGGTAAACCCAATTCTCAACGGTTTTTGGAACCTTGGAAATGCCGAGTTCATGGTGGCATGCATACACTTAGCTAACACAGCTTCAGAGTGTCAATGTCATTTAAAGGTTCTTAAGACTTATTCAACAGTTGAGCACTGAGCTTGTTCATCTTTCTTGTTGGAATTTGTCTACTGCAACTTATACAATGACCTACCAATCCAAACCTACTTCCAATGGGGTGTATCACATCAAAGTTCTCAATCAAGATCTTGTCATCGAAAGTGCTCCTGGTTATAACCCAGGGTTGAAGCTTGCTTCACCTTCTTCAACTAGCAACAAACAAAAAGTACATTAACTGATCACATCTTGGTTTATTATATGCTCAGTTCATGCAGTGGACCCTTACCCAAGTGTCGGGACAAACATCAGTAAAAAAACCCTTGACTACAGGGAGCTATATAGTCACTGTAGTCTGTGTAGCCCAATGTGTTAAGTCCCTACTATACCCTGCTATATAGCCACACGGTTAGGTGTATAGCACTACAGTAGCTTCTCATAGCAAATGACTACAGAGCTACAGACCACTACACGTGCTACACAGTACGACAAAAAGCAATCAGTAGTAGCAGGTATCTGCATGCAGCCACTGTAGCTCTCACCATACGAAATGCTACACATGCTACACAGTACAATGAAAATCAATCAGTAGTAGCAGGCATCTGCATGCAGCCACTGTAGCTCTCACCATATGAAACGCATCAGGACCGCACATCAACAAAAATGAATGTATTCAGAGTGACAACCCTTGTAAGAACAGGCCTCCTGAAGCATCAAGCATCACTAGCCTCTATGCCTTGAGGATGCCCATCTTGTACCGCTCACATTTCAACTTCATATTCTTGGATCATGTCATCGAACACATCATTGGCAAGGGTGTCAACAGATACTGCTGTCTTGGATGGGTCTATACCACCAGCATGTAAACTTATTGTCCAAGTTAGTGAACAATCAATGCAAGTAGCCAGACACACACCAAGCCATGTCAAGCAGATTATCACAAATTTTCTCCAGTAGTTTGTAAGGAGCAGTGCACTGCTCAAACCGCTCCAAGGAGTCAAGATGTGCAAGGTAGACTGGACCATAAGACACCAAGGAGAATTTGATGTCTTCCCTTACTCCAGTGGCCCACTCATCGATACAACATTCCATCTGTCAGACATCAGCTGCCGCACCAACCATCAGACACCTCTAAAGTACTCACCACTGTGAGTACCAGTGCCATCAATTTCAAAGGTAAAGGATCAAAGTATTTAGCATAGAGGATACCTTTGTCACTGCAGTTGGCAAACCACATATCATTAATCACTTTCTGGATCAATTCCATTTTGTAGATGCTGGTTTTCATCTCCCAATCCTTTCACTCATGCAGTTAGACAATGCCTAACAATAGTCAAGATGACACACCTTGAAAACAAATGATATCCCTTCCTTCAATGACTCTGCCAAGTCATGGTTTGCCTTGATAGCTGTTGTTGACCGGCTCACCCAGAAGCCGAAAAATGAGGATGTGAGTCTACACATCTTCATTTTGAGCTCCCCATGCACATGGGATGTGCACCTCATCATCTATACCATCACAAAATATCAAATGAGGCCAGGACAAGAACCCAACAGAGTGCTTACCATTTTCACTAATGAAGGTGTAAGTTGAATGGTAAGTCCAGTAATATCAGATGCCTCATGCCAAGCATGTTTTGCTAGCATGGTTTCAACCAAAAGCGTTTCTGGAAAAGGTGCCTGAGTGACCACCAGACAGCGGTAAATGGATGTGGCGGTGGCAAGCACATCCTTGGTGATATGATCAAAATCTGCAGCCTTTAAATGCTGGCATCTTCCATGTAAGGCTTTGATATTCAGCTTGATGTCTTCATCAGAGACCTCCAGCTGGTGTTGTGAAGTGTCTTCAACCTCTTCATCACCAACAGAGTCATCATCACTGAGAAATAATTTGCCATGGGGTCATTCATCATTACGGTCATGGCTGTTGTCACTACCATTGCCACTGTCTTCACTGCTGGCATCATCAGCAGACACCACAGGCACAGAATCTGATGAAACTCAGTCAGTATAAGACATGACCAGCCCAGATAGCCTACCTTTCGTCTTTTGAGCCAATACAGGAGAGTCTGATGAAACTTAGTTAGTATAAGACACAACCAGGCCAACTCAAACTTGCTTACCTTTTGTCCTTCGAGCCATCACAGGAGAATCTGATGAACCTTAGTATAAGACCCAACCAGCCAAGCTTGCATACCTTTTGTCTTTTGAGCCAATACAGGAGCAAGTGTTTTGCTCAAACTGAAAGCAAGTACCTGTGGCTTGTATGGCTTGGCAGGTACATGCTGATCAGTAAACTAGTACATCATAGTGAGCAATGGAGCACAAGAAAGAATATGATGCTGACCATGTTATCTTCAACCCAGTCCACATTGCTCAGCAGCTCAGTGGGCTCATTATCAAATCCCTCAGGATTTGTCCTATATGTAGTGCGCAGGGCCTTTAACTGTCGTTTTCCCACCTTGGCTTGCAAGGCTTTTTGGCACTCATCACCTCACCAAGATTTCAAAACTGATATGTAAAAAGCCAGTCAAAAACCTGGCAAGCAACAGCTGAATCTTACATACTTTGATAAGTCTCTTTTCAGTGGGCCGGTGGTGACAACCACTGGTGGTACAACCAGCAGTTGATACCATCTGGGCACATAAGTCATCCTGGGCCTTTGATATTGCCATTGAGGGCCCCCTTTTTGAGGAAAGCTTCACTGCCATGATTCAGGACTAAGATAGTCTGCAGTGAAAAAAATTGGATGACATGCCTTTAAATACGGTGCCATGGAGTTTGATCAACAAAGCACCAATCAACAAAGAACTTTGAGTTCTGTTGATTTCAAAGTTATGGTTTTCATTTGAAGAGTCAATGCAACAGTATATACAGTGTGACTGAATAACATTACCATTAGCCCTACAAACCCCAAATGAACAAACAGTCAGTAGCCACATAGTCCAAGACTCACAGCACACTAACCAATGTCGTAGATATGCCTTCTTGCCATTCGGTGAAATGGAGGAAGATATACTTCAAGTCCAACAATGGTACATTGCTCTGAGATTGGCCATGGTAGACACTGACCATCCAGCAGGCCCGTTCCACCTCCAAGTCGCCCATTCCATGTGGTCATTGCACCAGGGCAGGCTAGGGAAGGACCCAAACACACCAAGCAGGAACCACATCCTCCAGAGCTTGTTTATCCCTTGAAACCACATCATCAAACCCCAGGACCCATAACCACATCACAGACTTACCTATGAACCCTGGTGTTAGAATGTTGGGACGCTGAGCTGAGGCACTGTGATGAGGCATGCAAAGCACAAATCACTGAATGCATGCAAGGTCCTGCTACTCACCAAGCATATGTAAGGGAGTTAATAGTTGGTTGCTGGAATGCCAAGAATAAAAAGTGCAAAGAAGCATGCAAAGTCCAACTTTTGGAGATCCTACTTGCATCTCATGGTATAACTGCTCTAGTTTAGTCAGTTAGTCAAGCCAGCAGTTGGGCATGAATGATGGCTTATGGGTATGAAATAGATAAGATGAGAGGTGAAAACATGCATGAAATAATAAAGCAAAGGAGTAAAAGCAAAGTCATGCAATGTCTGAACTCTGCTGAATAGAGAAGATGAGCCAAAGAAAAGCTAGGCCATGCATGAACTCGGCTCTTTAAAATGAAAGATGGCATCCAGGTATTGAATTGAAAAGACAAGGTGAAAGGTATTGGATTGAGAAGATGAGGCTCATTGTCAGAATCAGGTTAAATAAAAAGAGAAAATAGATAAGAGGTGCAAATGCAAAGCCATGTGATGCAGGAACTCTGGGGAATAGAGAAAACAAGTGTGAACTCTGGAGAATAGAGAAGATGAGCCAAAGCAAAAGCAATGCAGTGTGTGAACTCATAGATGAGGAGAGAGAAAGAAATGGTCCAGACATTAGAAGAGGTGGCCAGATGATAGTAACCAGACAACAAGTGAAATGAAAGATGGCACACCTTTATGAACTGCATCGAGAAGGGCTGTGTTGAAGAAGGTTCTGGGTGGTCGACCATCATGCTGACATCTTCCTAGCATTCACTCCAGATCTTCATGCTGGTAAGAGGGAGGAAAGCCCACCACCATCTTCATGGAGGAGTCCTAGAAAAAAGAAGACCTTCAGACAATATCATCAGGCATACCTTCCCTCTGGGTAATCCCAAGCAAATACAATATCATCATTTGCCTCTGGACACACACATTCCACAGGAGGTGAGTAGCCAACCAAGTGAAATGAAAGGTGGTGTACCATTATGAACTGTGTCCATGTTGGTGGTTCTAGTGCCTGAAAACCAGGGTATTAGGAAGTGAAACCAGTTACTGTTGGCAACAACTAACCTGCCATGCCTAATTGTATGTTTTGTGGGAAGGTCACATCTATGCACAAGGGTCTCAAAAGACACATTGTAGGACAGCCTGAATGCTGAAGGGAGTGGACATCAATGATTGAAGATGTAGAGGCAGAGAATTTATACACACCTGATGTAGACTTTGGCCATGAAGACATAGCCCCATGCCATGTTCACATGTGCTCAGGTCCTGAAATGGACACCAACCCTACACTCAACAAAATTCATCACATTTTGGTTGAAGAAGTTGATGATGAGGATGGTGGCCAGTATATTAAACCCCAGCCAAATGCAGGCTGGGGTTTGGGTGAAGGGGAGACCAGATTTGAGAGACATAGAAGGGAACAACAGCAAGGTGGTGAAGATCCATGGTCTCCCTTTGAGGATGCATAAGTCCTTGGCCATGCTGGCCAGAGATGTACTGAGTAGACTCACCAGGGAAGAGTGGGGTCTAGTGCAGTGGATTGTCAAAAATCTGGGACAAACCAAGACCAATGAATTTCTAAAACTACCAATAGTAAGTCGAGAGCATTGAACAAAATTGGAACTCACTGTATTGATGCTGTCAACAGACCCAACAGTGCACAAAGCTATTGTTTCACAATAATTGTTCATTTTTGCAAAGAGTAGACAAACTTCCACATGGTCCAGGCTGGAGCTGTCAAAAGGTCACTGTCCATGGAAATTGTCAGGACAAGGATGGGGAGTTGCTGCAAGAAGAAGTTGAGCTATGGAGTCAAGATCCTGTGGAATGTGTGAAGGAGCTCATTGGAAACCCTGCTTTCAAGGCAGATATGGCCTACTCACCTGGCAGAGCATATGCTGACTGTGCAGGTCAACATAGAGTTATTGACGAGATGTGGACAGCAGACTGGTGGGGTGAGAAACAGGTAAGATTAATCTGGAGAAACATTGAAGGAATAGACTGACCTCTTATGTAGAAAGCATTGCCTGAAGGAGCAACTATAGCTCCAATTATTTTATCATCAGACAAAACAACCTTGTCACAGTTCCGAGGCAATAAGACTGCATGGCCAGTGTATATGTCTATTGGAAACATTGCAAAAGCTAAAAGGTGTCAGGCTTCGGCACATGTGACTGTGCTTATCGGTTACTTACCTGCAGGGAAGCTCAACTGCTTCACTCCTGAGGAATGTTCCCTGGCTGGATACCGACTCTTCCATCATTGCATGGGCCTGCTCCTCCATCCTCTGATTGCTGCCGGCAATGATGGTGTGGACATGGTGTGCACCGACTCATGGATATGTTGTGTCTACCCAATTCTGGTGGCATATGTTGCTGATTTCCCAGAACAGTGTTTGGTGGCCTGTTGCAAGGAAAATCAGTGTCCAAAGTGTCTTGTTGCAGCAGAGGAGCGAGGGGATGCACTGCACTCAGAGATGCATGATCCTAAGACCACGAAGGATATATTGCAAAGGTGAAAGATGGGTCAGCATCTGCCTGAATTCGAGGAAAATGGACTATGTAGCATTTACAAGCCTTTCTGGGCTGATATGCCTCATGCCAACATCTTCCTAGTGTTCACTCCAGATCTTCTGCACCAAGTTCATAAAGGTGTATTCAAGGATCACCTGGTGAGGTGGTGTCAGCAAATAATCGGAGAGGATGAAATGGACACATGATTCAAGGCAATGCCGGATTACCTAGGGCTCTGTCACTTCAAGAAAGGAATATCAACTGTCAAGCAATGGACCAGAAGTGAACATAAACAAATGCAGCAAGTGTTCATTGGCTTACTCACCAGAGCAGTTTCCAGGTATGTGTATTTCGAGTTTCAAAGATGGAATATGTGGCTGAGTTTGGTTCCCTGCCAGTCAGGTCTTGATAGTTGCTCATTCAATTCTGGACTTCTCATATTATGTGCAGCTGCAAATTCACACAACAGATTCACTCAAAACCTTACAGACAGCACTATCAGTATTCCATGCTCATAAGGATGTCCTCAAGGAACTGTCTATTCGTGAACATTTCAACATCCCAAAGATCCACCAACTCACTCATTACGTCCAGTCAATAACATTGTTTGGTGCAACTGATAGTTTTAATACAGAACTTCCTGAGTGCTTGCATATAGACTTTGCCAAGGACACTTACTGTGCCACCAATAAACATGATTATGAAGAGCAAATGGTCTTGTGGCTTCAGTGCCAGGAAGCTGTCTTTTTGCAGGGAGCATATCTGGATTGGCTGGCACAAGTGCCTCTCTCAGCTGGCTGGACCCAGGATGATTCAAACATGTATGACTCAGACTCAGATTCAGACTTGGATTCACATGAAACTCCCCCTTATGACTCAGACTTGGATTCAGACTCGGACTCACATGAAACAGAGCAAACGATGCATGTCCTTGCAAAGGCTCCAGTGCATCCACACTGATTGGTTCAAGAGATTGTAACATCACACAGTGCTACCAACTTTTTGACAGCTCTCTGATGTTTCATACAGAAGAATATCCCTGGCTGTACTGTCATACCAGGGGTGCAGGACCATTTTGACATTTATCAGCAAGTCGTCATTGTAACACCAGCTGACCTGCGAGTTGGTGATACACCAATGCAGAGGCGCATTAGAGCCACACCTGAGAGATTGTCATCAGGCTGTAAGCCTGGTTGTCCGGCTCAGTTTGATATGGTGTTGATATCTGATGGTCCTCATCCTGTGTGTTTGCGGACACTGCATGGTAGGTTTTTGGGAGTTGCATCAAGGGTGGTGTTTAATAGTAGCTGTTGCAGGTCTGAGAGTGGCTCAAGTTCGTGCTATATTCACCCTCCCTTTTCAGTTCAGCACATACACCAGAGCCCTCACATACATCAAGTGGTTCACACCTTTCAGGACACCTGACCCTTCTTCTGGAATGTGACTAGTGTTGCGCTTGACCCACCATTGTCGCCACAATGCTGCTGTCATTCATGTCAACAACATTGTTAGGCCATGTCATTTAATACTGAAGATGGGACCGTCAGTTGAGCCAAGGTTGAGGAGTGGAAATGCATGAGGCCACAAATGATTTTTATTTTAATGAGTTCATCAACAGTGAGATGTTTTGCGCTTCTGTGGATACTAATTAGATTGCAGAATGTCATGGAGACTGACTACTGCACAATGAAGCTACCTGTAGCGTCATGTAGCGGTCATGGTAGCTCCTGTAGATACCTATAACACACTGTTTAGGTTCATGACTACTGTAGGAGTTTGTAGCAAACCTTGCGGCTACATAATTGTCAGAAATTCCTAATCTAGCTTTCAATGCATTACAAAGCATTGAAATTTTTAAATACAAACTGCTGCTTGAAATAGATTTTAATAATAGAGTGCGCCTTGTAATGGGCATTGCAACCATCATTGCAATGCCAATTGTAATGGTAATTGAAATAGGTTTAAATCAATATTAATCATTGTAATGGACTGTTTGTACAGCAATCGGTTGTAATGATGCCCCCATGTCACCACTTCTTGGAATACTGGACCTTATCTTACAAGCCCCTTTTTCTATTTGCTATGTTGCCATCTTATCTTTTGGTTTCTATTGCCCTATGCTTATTAGTTAGTTATATTGTATTGTGTTTGTATTGCTTACTGTTATCACCTTTGCTACATTGCTATCTTATCTTTTAGCTTATGCTTATTAGGTCCTGTTATGTTATGTTAGTTAGTTTACTATCTTATCTGGTTTGTGTTAATGCTTACCTTGTCTATTATATAGTCTGTACTTGGTAGGTTTCAAACACTCGACTGTGTAGTAGTTATTAGCTTAAGCTTAAGGTTGCGTGATACTTAGGACTTACCACGACAAAACTGTTAGGCTAAAGGGTCTTTTTATATAGGGTAACTTGATTGTATTTGAACCATCGTTTTTGGCTACCTATAAGGCAATAGCAAGTAGCATAGACTAATAAGATTTGGTGCACATGAAAGGCAAATCAAAGATATAACATTACATATGAAATGAAAAAAAGACTAGTATATCTACTAATAGTATCCTAAGCAGCATGAGTACTGCATCAAACACCTGTAGCTGCAGGCTTCTTTGCCCTAGCCCTTCCTCTCCCTCTCCCTCAAGCTGGTGGCTGTTCCACATCTGCATCCTGTACTACAGCTGTATTAGTAGCTGCTGAAACTGCCACATCACCCTGAACAGTAGCTTGGAAAGTAGCACTGAGAGTAGAAGTAGTACTGAGTGATGAAACAGTGCTGAGAGCAGCGGGAGGCTGTGCCACCTCAACAGTGTCAGAATGAAAGGCAGTGGTACTCTGGACTGCAGAAGACATTGGAGTAGGTTCAGAGATGTCTGACTCATTGTTGCTATCAATATCAAGTGCATTCATTGCGCAAATGACTTCACTGGAGTGATCTTCTTGAGTGGCTGCAGAAGCAGATGATTTTGCAGTGCTGAAAACTTCTCGGTCGATGTTTTGCACAATGGTCTGGATGCAGTGGCTGTCCCACTTGGTGAGCAAGAGTTTCTTGTAGTGAAAGAAAAGGTCCTTGTAGTTGATGCCAGAGGACTTTCCTGTGCCCAACTTCTGAAATTCAGTATCGGGTGATAGCAAAAAGATTGCCTGCAATAGTATTGACTGAGTGAGAACATTCAACATAGCATAGATAAAAACTTACAATGATGGCAGCCCATGCAATAGACCCTGGCGTAACATGCTCGAGGTTCCACTTCCAGGCATTGGTCTTTGGTCCACCAGTGGTCTCTTGGTGAAGCAAAGTAACACCACAAAGTGTGGCCTTCAGAATCTATTCAGAGATATATCAATGTCACTATGACATGCTCATTGACCAAAAGAAACACATACCTTAGCCAAAAGTTCCCAGTTTCCGAACACAGTCTTCAAGGTAGGGTCCTCTTGCATTCCAAGGAACAGGACTGGCAGAAATGTCTTGTACTTCGGATTTGCTGCTGACACTCCAAGCATTTTCTGTATTTTGGTGACATTGGCTCTGTGGTACTGGGTATTGCTGAAGTATACTCCTGGAAGGTCAAATATATTGCCTGCTGTCCTGCATGATTTGGGAATCATGCAGAACATGTATATAACATATCATCCCATGTTTCCATAGTCTGTTAGCTTAGCCCTCAGACTACACAAAATGTACTTTGAGTACAGACTCAAGTGCAATATTTCACTTTGCATGCTCCAATCATGCAAAAATATGGTGTGTTGAAGAAAAGTCAAATATGATGAAGAAATCATATATTGACCTGGTCAAAGTTGATAGTCATACAAAAGCTTAGGTTATTGCCTATCATTTGGCTTATTTACTTTGACTAGAAATAACCAAGGAGAAAAGATAAAAGCCTACCAAAACCCTATCTAAAAAGCCAGTGTTTTGATTTGTTCTGTCTTATGATTTATTCTACTTTATTGTCTTCATATTTTTCTTTCATTTCTTTACCTACTTGATTCTTTGACCTCCCAGAGACTCCACAAAATGTACCTGCAGGGTATGATGTCATGATGATGTCATATAGCTTCACAGAAATTTCTGGAATATTCTGTTGGATACTATGAAGCCATCTATGATGTCATAGTGATGTCATTGGATGCTAGAATGTTCTGCTCCACTTTTGCTCCACTTTGCTCCACAATGAGGTCATTTATGATGCAACTCTGATGTCATTTCTCTTTCCAACCTTATTTCTTGGTACTATACAGTTTCTCCCATCTCATGTATTTAAGGAGAGCACTTCTCCACCCACAAAAAATAAGAATCTCTTTTATCATATAAAAGAACCTCCACTTCTTCCACTTTCTCTGACATTGACACTCTTTGTGTTAGCCAGGAAGTGCAGACCAAGTACATTTGGTTTACTTGCTCTGAGATCATTTATTCTTTTCTTGACTGTACCTGTGCTGTCTAGTGTGCATCTGACATATAGTTTCAGAGGACTAGAAGTACCAAGTCAAGCCATATTATCTGTGCCTGCAGATTCCTTTGTTGGATCATCTGCTCTTGTATCATATCATCTTCCTTGGATTAAACCCTTTGCATTTAGGCAGGGAAATCCAACCAGCTTCTACCAAGTTCCCTTTTATAAGTCCTTTAGTATATCAAGGCAGGGGAATATCATTAGCATTATTTGCTACCTAGTTTTGTGCATAGTACACACCTATTCTTTATTTTCTGTCTAGTCAAGTATAGGACTAGAGAGACTCACCCACAAACTCTATTCTCTATCTAGTCAAACATAGGACTAGAGAGACTTACCTACAGAATCTATTCTATTTGTCTAGTCAAACACAAGACTAGATAAAGTTCTATCTACATACTCTACATTATCTGTCTTGCCGGATAAAGCTAGGCTTGTATTGTAGAACCCCTATTTACAACCAGGTAGAATAAAACCACCAGGCTGTATAGCAGGTAACCTCCCATGAATGCCGCATTATCTACCACGAAAGAAGAAAAGTCGTAGACCATGAACTTGAGGTTGTTGGCAGCATTCAGTCTTATCAAAAGTGTAATTGTGGTGTCATTGCCTTTTGACCACTTTTATATAAGACACCTCAAGTAAGAAGACACCGCAACGCTACACAGTTTGTTGATTTCCAATGAGCGAGCCTTGGAAATGGACTTCATTACCTGGAGGATGATTGTTAGTTTAACAAATAGTATTGAAACATGTAATATATATGAGATCACTGAAGTATGAACTTTCCATAACACCATGTAAACGATCAGGAAAGTGCTGAAATAGTTCGTCTAAAAACGCTGATTCCTGGGTCATTGCTGTCAAATACTGGTCTCGGCTGTTGAATGGAGTTGGATTCTCAGGACATTGTTTGCTGAAAAGGTCAGCATTAGGGAACATTTCAACAGTCATGCCATATTTACGGGCATAAAGTGTGATGGTTTGCTCATGGGCCAGGAGTTCATCAGGAGCCTCTGTGTGACGTTTGCATTTAGGCTTCTCGGCAATGAGAACCTTGTTCTCCTCATGAAGAGTGCGATTTTCCTCAGCGAGCTTCTGAACCTGGATTTGCAGCACCTTGAGTGCCTAGAGTAAGAGTAGAGTTAGATAGGTAAATTGATCTTAACATCTAAAACTTATGTCCATGAAGTCTCCCTTCGAGGCATTTGGCCCCAGAATTGCAACAGATTCAACGATAGGCTCCGTGTCCCATTCATTGTCTGAGTCAGATGCATTTTGAGAGAAATGAGACATGGTCCAAGGTGCTAAAAAGATACAAGGAGATGAGAAATGGTTAGCATGACAGTGCCGTATATAAGGTAAATTGTCCTGCCTTGTGCTTGATGCAACCAAAGTTGCAGCAATGTATCAGCAGCGCCAAGAAAAACATGCCTATGCTCTGACTATCGGTTATGAAGGAAGGTGTGATAGCCTGGAGGTGACCTTTGATAATTTAATACAACAAATGAAATCAACACTGCAAAGTAATAATCAGCATGTAATGTCTAAATCATGGGCTGGAATATTACGTTTTGAGCTCCTAGATGATGGGATATCATCAGGGTCTAGTACAAGAGCAGGATAGCCTGCCACAAGTAACTTTGGCCCAACCACCACTGATAGACATTCTGCCACATGTAAGAGGCACACTCAATGTTAGGAAACATACAAAATCAATCTCATGAAGCCGCAAGCATGCATTACGTTCCAGATGCGAGTATAGCAGCAAGATCTTTCTCGCCAGCTGCTGCAAGTTGGTGTGAACAGGCTTTCAAACAGACTGCATAAAAATGAGCCATTGTGGGCGACATCAAAAAGTTAAGGACTTACAGAGACAATCTAGAGACAGTAACACCACCTTGACAGCATTGGCATTGTCTTGCACAGGTGGCATATTCTTTAATAGTGCAGAGTGGTCCACCCCATACTCATCTTGCCAGATTGTGGCTTTGAGAATCAAATCGTCCATGCAGCAATCCCACAAGTCTTCATTGATGAGATCAACCTGTTCAGTTCGTACACTCAGTGACATCCGGGTGCGAGCAGATGTGTGAGGTTATATAGGCAATGGCCTCTTGAGCAGCTTCACCAAGCTGAGATGGATTCAAGGATAGGCCATCAAGCTCCATGATAACCGGAACTGGTAGGACAACGGTCCATCAGAGACTTTCGATGATGGATGTGACGGCCAATAAGGAAGATAAAATGATGTTGGTGTCCAGCACAAGAATAGTATAACCTGCCACAATGTTCAAAGATGGCATTAACACAATTTTCTGGGAATGGGCTGGACGAGACTGCTGTTTGGGCACATGAGCAGGTGCGCACTGACCTGAAATGAGAAGTGATCGCAAGTACCTCTGGCATACCTGTTCATGTCATCAAATACCATCCAAAATTCACCAATGAGGCAACTCACCTTGAGATCCTTGACTTCCTCATGATCATTTTCGTCCTCTTCACTCTGTTCTGACATTTCCTTAGACTCAGCATCTTCATCATCAACATCAACGTCCACAGAGTCGTCACAATCAACATCCTGTCACAGCTGATGAACAATCAACCAAAGAAGTATGGTCAGAAGGAAGAGACTCACAAACATGCTCATAAGGAGCTTCAGTGTCCAAATCAAATGCTACACCACCACCATCAGCTCTTATCCAAACTCAAAAAGTCAAGCAAAAAACTCATGAGTCCAGTCCCCATTGATCAACACTCTCTCTAATCACCAACGATCCCAAACAGATCACAATCAGCAAAAACCCTCATGTCACTCTGAAAAGACGCACCAAGCTCGACAGCAGTGATTGCACCCGATCAGTCTGTATCAACAGCAGCGAACCATGACCAGAGCCTTTTATATCACATGTGCATCAGTTGAGAAGGTACATTTCTTGATAAGTTCTGTGTGTGCTTCAAATATTTTGTTGGTGGCTGGTAAAAAAGCGGTTTGGTGTAGTGGTTGATAAGAAGCATTTAGTTCATGGAGAACAAGCAATGTTTGCTGATTGATGAAGTCCTTATGAAAGGAGCTGCGCGTGTGGCAGTGTAGCATATAACCAAGATGAGGTCTTGTGTCACACACCCATAGTATAGCAATGAAATGAGAAAAGCAAACAGATAGCTCTACAAGAAGCATTGAATTGGATACTAGTGAAAAAAAGCGAGTGAGATCATGTCATTCACGAAGATCAAGGTGACTTACAAGATGAGACACAATGAAAGAGTGAGTGCACAGATATGAAAAGATGAAAAATGAAGTAGAACTTGAGCAAGAAATTGACATATGAACAAAGGACATATAGATGCAAATGTGAGCTTGGCATGTGCACTGAGCATGCAAAGTAGATCGGCTGGGTGCATATATGCACTGAGCAAGCCATGTAGACATGTTGATTTGGGTTGTTGAAGTAGTTGGTTTAGTGTGGTTTGGTTTGGGTGAGTGAGTGAGTGATATAGTAATGTGGTGGGTATGGTTGGTGGTCATATGCCATGATGTGGTGCAACGTTAGCTTGCAGATATAGTGTATAGATGAGAGCGTGACGTCGAGAGTGCAGCAATCACAACAGACACCCTGAGCAGCATCTATGCCAAATGCAGTGTGCAACATCCACCAAGTTTTCTGGATGTGATGTGTAGTCTGGGAATCCACCATGCATGGTTCAGGAAACTGCCATGCATATTTCAGGATCCCCTAATAACCTCAAGCAGTGAGATCACCTGATAAGCCTCCCATAATCCAACCTCATCTCCCGTTTCTCTCCACCCTCTTTCTTCAGAAATGCATTCTGGAACCTAAGCGTCTCATCTCCAGCACCTGTTATGATGGTCTCACCTAGGAACATACATCAGCATCTAATTCTAGCACCATTGAACTTGACATCACCAGCACCTGAGCAATTTATCACCAGCCAAATAACACCAAAGAAAGGCCTACTCACCACTGCTGTGTGTTGGTGGAATTTCCAGAGTGGTGCGTCTCCACTTCCACTCCCTCCTGCACCCTCCACACTCCCTGATCCTGATGTTGAACTTCAGTAACAGAGGCATGTTTTGAACCTCATAGATCCCATATACACACTTTGTTGTTGTTCCCCCCACTTGCCAATGGCCCACCATCTCTTGCCCATTTCAACCCACATACTTCCTGTCTGTGACAGCACACAAGATGGTTCCATCTCTTGCTTGTCTCCCCATGCAAGCTCTCCCCATTGACATGGGAGTGGCCATCCTCTTCGTCATCTTCATCTTTGATAATCCCATTGGTGAGTTGACCGCCTTCTTCCACATCCAGGATCTCCACCTCCATTGACATCCATCTCTCCTCTCTGCTCTTCCAGTATCCACACTTGAAGACTTTTCGACTGATCCACTCCATCCCACTAAGGCACCAGTCTTCGGAGAGAGGTGGGGCACAACCACTCATCAGCATCGACCACTGCTCATGGCCAGCAGTTGGGATGACCAATCCCTGTGCAGTAAAGATATCGCGGGGGGGAGGGTTGGCGAAAAACTGTGCAAAATCATGCCAAGGTATTGAACATTTCATTACAGAAAGTGTCTCTGCATGTTTTGTGATGGTAGCCAAGAAGGTGAGCATGACCGAGATATAAGGATTGAGAGTAGAACAAGCAAAAGGTGAGGCCTTCCACGTTGGATTGCGGAGAATGAATGAGAGCATCAAAAATGCAAGTTCCAATGCCAGTTTGAATGACAGTGGAAACTCTGCAGGCGTGTTTGTGTCCGATAGAGCTGGAGATGCTTGTGAGGCACCTTTGTCATCCACGTCCATCCATTTCTCTTCACTGTCTTCATCACAGAATGTGGGTGCAACTTGACACTTCTTGGCAACTTTTACAGCTGGACTGCCTGTGCCTGCTATCATAATCCACTCGCGTTCCTCAGCTCCCTCGATTTTGATGTGCTTGATGAAGCGAGCGAGGGTTGGCGAAAAGTTGTCAAGTTGGATGTTAGTGAATAGCATGCTGTGTAGAAAGACGAATAGTTCAGGTGCGCAGTTGATGACCAGATGGGGAGAGTTGACTCACAAGAGTTTGAGGAGTTTGCAGAATGCATGCATCCAAAGACAAATGATGATATTGTACTTGGTTGGGATTACCTGGAGGGAAGCTGGAATGCTCAGTGCAAGAGAGATCTCCATCAGCTTATTATGTATTATATCAGTGAGTCTGCACACATTAAGTCAATGATATCATGATGAAAACTGGAGAGCAACTTGCTGTTAATGGTCTGAGATCAGCTTCATCCATTTTGCGCAAGATTGCCATGAGCCTTGAGCCAGCCTGATTGGAACAAATGCAAAGACGGCTCCTCTAGAAGGCAGGTGTAGAAGGTGTAGGCATAATATATAAAGTCTTGGAGGTGTTCAAGAGTGAGGGCGAGAAAAATGAGGCTCACCTAAGGCCTCCAGGAGTTTGTGGAATGTGTGGGTCCAGATATGAATGATGATATTGTACTTGGTTGGGATTATTCGGAGGGAAGCTGGAACACTCGGTGCAAGGGAGATCTCCATCAGATTATGCATTATCTCAGCGAGTCTGTAATACCCATTCAATCAATGATATGATGAAAACCAGAGAATGACTTGCCATTCATGGTCTGAGATCAGCTTTGTCCGTTTTTGCTGCTGGAGGTCTTCATCACTAACTTCATGTCCTCGTCTGAATCCTTGGAGAACGGCATGCTCTTCATCTACGAGATCATTGGGGTCCTTGTTTAATATCTTTTTTTCTAGGGTGGATATGCTGTGGTACAGCCTTTTAAGCTGAACCCGATCATGGAGGCTGGTTTGTGCGGGGTGCCGTAGTAATCGAGGCAGGGGTCCAGGGAGCTGCACTACTAGTATAATCAGTGTTCTGTGACATATGAATGAAAGTCAATAGCATGTACCTTACAATCTGGTAATGAAATATCTAGTAGGAGTGAAAGGATTAGTTAGATTAAGTTAAAGTCGAGAACTAAAGGTGTCCATGATGGTGGCCAATGAAGCAAAAAGGTTCTCATTAAGACAAATAATCAAACGCGCATGATGTGCCCTGCCTCCAGATGCATCATCTTTATGTGAAGAAACATGTCAGTATCTGCAGTATCAACTACAAGATAATCAGAAGGTCCATCTGCTATCAGAAGGGCCCCGCATATGAATGATCTAACAGGAAAAAACTGTGCCTGTGCTCGTGGTCTTGCACGAACTCTGTAAAGGTTGAGATCCTTGTCCTTTCAAGTGTGCAAACCAGTAGGAACATCAAAAGGGTGAACAAGGGCCAGGGGAAATGTGTTATTCCCAACCAGACATTCGAAACAGAAGACCAGCTGGCCAAAAATGACTTTATTCTCAGTCAACTGAATGAAGACGCAGTCAAAGCATGGTGAACCAAAGAAACGAGGGTTGGAATGAAGATAGTCTGTATTTTGATGCCAATCAACCATCGATTCATAGTTGATGCGAATAAAGCAGTGCTCTGTAATCTGCACATAGTATGTCAGCACAGCAAAAAATGAACTGAGGCAAACATACCTCATCAGTTCCTCAGAGATGAATATGTTTGCCTTCAGGCAATGGAATGCTCAACAAGGGTAAAAGAACATTGAGAAAATCATTGAGCTTGACACGGAAATTAATGAAGGCTTGGTCTGCTTGATGAGCTGTCTGAATTGCATCAAAAGTCAGCGGAGGTTGCTTCGATCCGAGTTTCACATGAAAGGAGTTACTCGTCGAGACAGGGTGCTCAATGACAGTGGCAAGGAAGTCTTCTTCCTCCAGTAAGTCTTCTTCATCCAATTGGTGTTGATGATCATCGAATTTGAATAAGCAGCAGTATATATGATCTGCAGCTACCTGCCACATATTGATACGGAGGATCTGTCAAAGTTGAATCAAGTTGTGGTATTATAATAGATCATTTTTTTTAAATTGAAATGCACCTGTTCTGCTACGTCACAAAAGTTCATGCGCAGCAAATACAAGTCCTTTAATGAGCCATGCATCTTCTCGTTCAGCTTGGTATTGTAGTTGCATGTTGCTCCTTTTGCCTTGACATCGTCAAAATGTGCGAGCCCATGTGCAACTTCAGGAAATTCCAGTTCTTGTCACTCTCAACTGTTTTGTTAATGTATTGCTAATAGGAATTAGTTACCTATTGGAAGCAGTAAATAGTATATGAAACATACCCACAAAAGAGCCGCAAATGCAAGGTGTGTGTGTCGGCCACTGCTAATGGTCTCCATTGTGTGAACTTCAAGCAAGGCGTACATATCGAGTTTGAGGTAAAGTTGGACACAACGAAGGAGCAGGTAACCAAGAGGACAGTATGCCTCTGTCAATATATTGTGGGTCACATATACTATCATCTGGTAGTGATATTTTAGTAGATGCGAGGTAGAGTGAAAGAAATTAAGAACCTTTGAAATGTCTTCATGTGTGGAGTTGTCAGTAAATGAGATATTCATGACCTGGTTTGGATGTTTTTGGTCTCGCCAGTGGGGAAATGCTTGATAACTGTGTAAATTCATGTCAATTCGAGTCAAAATGAATTATAAATGACTTACCTCTTGTCTACTTGAGATGATTTCTCTCATCTGAGACTATTTATATACTTCTGAAGCTCGACCCATAAATGATCAGACCATAGACCACCAGAGTGAAAGTGCAATTTGTCCCAAGACAATGCGCGATGCACATCTGTAGAGGACACTGTTGAAAATGAATTCTAAGACAACATTAAAACAATGTAGCATGAGAGTAAAGATAAGCTCACAACAACATCACAAAGTCCATAGTCTTTCAATACCTCCTCCCTCTCTTCTGCAGCCTCCCTTTCTTGCACGGTTGCTAGAATAGCCTCCGAGTCATGAGATGTGTGCTGTGGATAGCAGTGCAACATATCAGAAAGTTTATCATGGGGAACAAGACAGACTGGGCATGGCCATAAGGCCCTAACACCGCAAGTAAGTGCCATTGTTGACCTTTGTTAAGGTCACATGCTCAAGGGGGTCGGATCACAAGGGCTTGGCCTCAGCTCGTACACTGTGCCCCTTTCCTGAGTATGTGCCCTTAATTTCCGGGGGCTAGAACAGTTGTCCGGAGTTTCCGGGATTTGACTGGGGCAGATAACGGACGTCCAGATCTGAAACGTGAGATAAATCCGATGGACGTCTGGATGTTACCTGGGCAAGCAGACAAGACTAATCCGGATGAAGTCCAGACTAGAAACTAACAGAGGATGGACTACCCTTAAGGTAGAGTTGGAAATATAGTCTAGGATGCAATCCTAAGACTCAGAATATGACAAGAGACTTATCTCAAGTCCGGAGGACACAGGAATGAGCAGGAACTAAGATGATATTCGAACTGGAGTATTTCCGAGAGTTACAGGAGGTTTATATACTGTAGGTATCATATAGGAATCAGTCAGCAAACATAAAGGCTATGTACAAAGCATATGCAAAGTCTATTAGTAAGTAGGATGGATCACAAATAATGAACACCGGAAATGAAATGTATGTAACAGATCAATAATCAAAAGGGAAACATGGTTAACCGGAGTCTGGAGACAGGGGCAGTCTAAATGGAGTTGGGCGCTGATATAGGGTTTGGATTCTGGAAGGGAGATAAAGATAGATCAGATCATTTGAGATCCGGATCTCAGATCTGGACATCCGGAGAAGCAGATTTAGAGTTGAGAGTCCGGAATGGCATATGACAACCTTCAAACATGGTAAGTTAGTGAAACATCAGTCCAAAAGTTTGAAGCTCACTGTTCCTCAAAATTGGAAGATAAAATGAGTATTAGCAGGAAAAACCAGCGCTGAACAATATCTAGACACTCCAACCATTGACTGGTTTTTGATTTTGCAGCGAGCGAAGACAGTATCCTTTCAAAGGATTTATGCCATACTGTGGCCTTGAAGTTAGCCCATGCCAGCAAGCTGGCATGGGCTTTATCTTCCTTCACCTATGAATAGAATTAGTATGAAGTGATGCATGTGACATTGTACATATTGTAATACCACAGGAAGCCACCCAACAATGTAACCACCACCCATTCCTTGACTGTTGCAAATGTGGGTGGGTAAGTTCACTAATCGAGCAACAATGGGATAGCCTTTTGCAGTTCCAAAACTAGATAGTTTTGTTTTGTCAGCGTACAATATGAAGGCAAGGGGCTTAGCACTATGCAGCAGCTGCAACTACAAATTACATTGAGATTCCATCAAGATTACCGTACAACATATATGAATGGTACATACTTGAGCATCCCAAAAGTCTTGAGCAGTAAAAGGCTCATCTACAAATCGTTCGAAAGACTGGCCATTGAACTTCGCCAAGCACTGGGCATCAAAATGAAAATAAGGAAACAGATGAGGATCATGGAGGTCAGTAGCCCACTCCCAAAGATCGCGATAGTAGACATCAAAGTCCCATGTTTTATCTGCGAAGGGTATTGAAATCACATCCTTTGTAAACTAAGCTCAAACATTAGTCCAATTAGAATCATACAACAATGGGCAAAACAACCCCTGTAAGGCACTGAGAAACTGTGTCCCACTTGGCACAAACATCCTTGTGGTTCTTGAATGTGAATTTCTCCAACTGCGCTGCACAGTGATGGCATATATCAATGAGACAGTCTGTTTGCTCATTATTGAGCACCACTTCAAGGGCAATTTCAGCAACATCAAACTCCAAATGAGACCTGAAAGGACACCAAGGCTTTGCATTAGGTTCTGGAGCAGACCATGAGGAATGATGTGCAGGGTGACATGTGAAATCACTGAAAGCAAAGATTTTGGTTGGGATCCCGCTCTTGGGATGGTGCTCAACCTTGATGTCATCAAGCTAATATTCGCAATACTGAAGGTTCCTGTTGTCATCAGGGATAGCCAGTTGCTCATCTGAAATCCATATTAATGATATACAACAAAACACCCAAAGAAATAATCAAACTCACCAAAATAAGGGCCCAGATTATCAACATCATGGAAACTCGATGCTGAAGGGTCTCGCTGGACTATTGATGAACAAATAAGTAAAATTAACAACACAATGCATTGAAAGAATAATAAACAGCAAAACTTACCCTGTGTCTCGAGCTGCGGATTGAGACTGTGACCCACCACCGCATTGACAGCAGTACCATTGGAACCAGGACCAAGAAGACCTGCTGCATTTAGTCAGGATATGAAACTAAATTGGAGTATTCAAACAACGCACCTTTTCACTGCCTAATTGAGTCTGCAATGCGCTGATCCTGGGCTCGTTTCTGGGAGTTCTTCTTGCAGGCTTTCCGGTGAGTGACCCAGCTGCGTGGTTTAATGCTCTGTTCACACAGATCGCAGAATTTGGCCCTGTCGGAGCCCATGATGTCGAAAGATATATACAAGGTATCTACAGAATTGATGTGAGCAAAGAAATGGAGGAATACAGATGATGAGAGCGCAAACAGAGGTAAGGACGCATTGCAAGCGCTTCGCAATCACGCTGCGATACATTGAAACTCAGCAATCAATCTTACATGATCATGACAATACGAATTTCAACGCCATCTCAACGACATCTCAACAACGAACGAAGCATTGGAATAGATTTCGCAAATTTCCGACATAGCGCTATGGTGGCTATATAGCTCTATATACATAGCTGTCACCAGGGCTACGACGAACTTGACTTTTTACTGATGAAGCAACGTCTGGACGATGGTCAGCGTCGAGGATGGGTATGGTGTGACCTACAAGAAGACTGCAGACACCTATTGGGGTTACGGATACCCTTATCCTCAGAATGGTTCCTCCTTGAACTGGTCTATATTGGAACGAACCAGCGATGGTCAAACTTTCTCGAAGTCCGTGTCCTAACATGATGTCGCTAAAAGTTGTACTTCATGTGTGTTACAGGATAAAGCTAAGTGGCGAGTCGAACTGCTTCGACTCCTGCAACCCAGGATCAGATGCTGTTTGTGTCCGAGTCTACTTTCCTGACATTTTCTAATGCCCTTCATAAGTCCACTTTTACTATGACCATGCTCATGTCATACGTCCCCTCTACTCATTTTGTACTTCTACATAATCATCATCTAAAGTACGATGGTCCCAAACAATGCTTCGTTTTTGAGTTAGTTCCAGATGTTAAGCCTTCTGCGCCACTGTGAGGATGATTTCGTTGTGCGAAAGCTGCATGATGCTGGTCGTAAATTCGACTCAGGGATATCATGTTCCTCCAAGATGCTACAGGGAGTCAACAGCAGTATATTGACACTGCGCGCAACGGGATCACCCAGATTTGCAATACGCTTCTATCTGGGGGGAAATTCGCTCCGGGAGATCTCAGATTTGGTCTTGTTGCCTTCCGCGATCATCCTCCTCAAGATCGGAGCTTCATCATCCAGGAATATCCTTTCACGACCGATTTTGGAAGCATCGCGACGAATTTAGGCGGCTTAACAGCGACAGGCGGTGGAGATGGACCTGAATCTCAAAGTGATGCTTTGTCCGCTGCCAACAGGGCTGACTGGAAGGACGAAGCGACAAAGGTTGTGGTGCTGATTACCGATTCACCCCCGCATGGAATTGGAGAGGATGGAGACGCCTTCCCTAAAGGATGTCCACTTCGTAAATCATACTTGTGTTCTTCAGTCGTAATGAATCAGACTAATGCCAATACAGAAATCGACCCGCTCCGTATTGCGACGAGGATGGGAAAAGCTGGTATCACTTTGGTATGTCCGACATTCCACATCTCGTGCTAGAGTTTAATATCAATACAGTATGTGATTGCGTGCGAGCCTACTCTGAGCCAGTATTACAAGGTGAGATCATTTTCTTTGTGCTGCCACGTCAGATGTGTCATTGATTACGCAGAGAGCGCGTGATTTCTACGAAGGATTGGTTAAGAAAACTGGGTAAAATCATCACAGCTTCAACCGTATATTCATGGATTAACTATTTGTGATAGAGGGAAGGTGGTCAACCTCGGCGATGTTAGCGTGCTGCCCACTCTTATCGCTGGTTCCGCTTTAGAGGCAGTCGACAGCGAGAATTATGTTGCCAAGTATCAGGCTGAAGTCCGCAGCATGGCGAACGATCAGAAGATGAGCACCAGCGAAATTTCTCAGAAGCTATACAGGAACTTCGCGGCTGCAGGCATCCAACACAGCACCCTCGTTGTCGATAATATGTATGAAGAGCGTACGCAAGGAGATCGGAATGCCGACATATGGTTTAATGCTGAGAATCTCGACGAAGCGAAGAACAATATTCAGGAGGTAAGATATCGATAACTCTTGTGTTTTAAATTCTCAAAATGCCGTCCAGGTTGAAGGCAACCGTATTCTCGAAAAGTACCAGACTGCTGGGGTAGAACAATCAGCTGCTGTAGTGACGCAACCGATCAGCTTAGCTCAGGTAATTTTCACCCCACTCGTATCAAAGTTTATAGTGACCCCTTTACAAGGTCGAGACTGTCGTTCAGAAGTATCTTATGAGAGAATCGTGAACTTAAAGACCATGTTGTTCTCGCGGATACCAACATGTATTAGTATCACCTGGCTGGAGTTATGTGACACCAATGGCAAATATCATCGAATTGAAATATCAGGGTTTGCGGAGCTATAGTGCTGTTCACTTGTGTACTTTGCGAGTCGAACTCGAAAATTTTCATCACCTATCAGAAATTAGACCCGAAAATTCTGTATCCTCAGTCTCGATGCTCACTCGCACACATGTTGTGTACGTACGTATGGACTGGGAAGGCAGCAGCCAGGAAAATGAATACTCCTTTGGCATCTCCACCTGAACTGGTGCTCCCTGACATATTGCTCACCTGACCCCAAATCAATCGAAATTTCCACCCATTTCTGAGTCTGAAGTTGCCGTGACAGTCCCAGAGTTGCATAACGAGACTGCAGAAGATGATTGATCAGAAACATAAAATTAAATATGCGCATTGAACCCCAGATCTACATAGTCTCTCCTAATCAGACAAGAAAGACAGTCGTTCCTTCTATATCACAGCCCAGACCAGAGCATGGCCACTATCACTCACTTTTCTGATGAGAAAACGAGATCGACTCGGCAGGATTTAGAAGGTGGCGCAAAGCTCCGAGTCCGGCCACAACCATATAGTACGGTAGAAATACCGAAAACTATAGATTATGACCACGACTGCAGATGTTTTACGATATGAGATCCGTTCGGACAGATTCACAAATTCGCATGCACCATTGTCACCAGATGGAGACAAGACTAGGGTACTGAGTCATGGGTTAGGACGGATGCAGGAAGCTCACCGAGTAGAGGATAAGTGGTATTGAGTTTGGGCCACCTAGGGAGATTCAATCTTGATGGGGGCCAGCGGCTGAGAACCTGCCATATAGTTTTCATCGATGCATCGATCATCCTTTATTGCAAGAGATTTGTGACAAACCCCCTGCAATATGCGGGGTAATGGGGGGAAATGACGACGTGCGGAAGCTAGATCTGCAATGAGATCGGCGGGTATAGTAGATGTGACACCGTACTACATAGTACGCACGTACTGGGACATTGCATTACTACAAAGTCACTCCGGTATCCGCTACTCTTCTCGATATTGTGTCCTCTTGTAGGATGTGAATGATCGGTTCCAGGATTATAGGGCGCTCGTACGGAGACCTCCAGCAGTAGCGCTAGCAGAGCATCGAGTCACTGGCCCTTGAGTCTTGACGGAAAGAGTACTTCGAAATTCGAACACTTCTTGGACGATCACGTGATTATTGTTTGTAGTGATTTTAATATTACCGTGCTCATGCCAGTAGCCTAGCGAGCAGATCGAAAGCTTGCAGGAGTTGACTTGTAAAGTCAGAGATCCCTGAGTCAGTTTTTCCGTACTAGTTGATGATCTCTATACGTCGACATGATTGCTTGCAATCGATTGACAATTGCCCATCTTGCCTCACTGCTACGTCCCTCCATCTTCTTCAGCGCAACACTTGTTTTCAAGTCTCACATATAAAGCGTCTTTTCGCCTCAGCACGTTACCACGTGTCGTCTATCAGGGAAAACTACGCCTGCAGATATGTGGCTCGTTCTTTGAACTCTCGAAGGGGTGTGATGCTTGGACTGACCTGCGTCATTTTGCTGAAGGTTCTCTGTGTTGAATTTTCCGTGGCTTGTTCTGGTGCGCGTACTGTGCATTTTATGTCGTCTCATACATCCTTGTGCTTTAGCCGCCCAGAATAAGTTGTTCGCTTCTGCACTTCCATTATGCTGCAGCCAGGATACTCCTTCCCTGACAGTGTATGGTCCCTGCGCCTCCACTAATGTGCACATGGGGTCCAACTCTTATATCCCCTCCCATCTAATCGTGCAGTTGCTCCTTCCCATAGCTCGGATGTGGCTGAAAGCTGTTTATCACGCACTCGCCTAAATACTTACATCTCGGGTACGTTGTGGGCTCGGCTTCATGGATTTAGCTTGCTGCCATATTGATCCTGTCGACTCCCTAGCATGAATAGAAGAATTACCTTGTTCGTCACAGCGAACGGTAGTTGGTTTGTAGATGCAAAGGAGCGTAGGGATGAATCCATCGAGAAAATGCCATGGGATTCGCTAGCTGCTTTGATTACAATTGTCATCTGAAGGTCCGATTGGATTTTAGAATGTCAACAAAATGCCACGACGGTCTCAAAATGAGCAGTGCCCGTGTCTGAAACGAGCAGGTACGTCTGATCTTCCCCGCCAACTCTCAGTGTATCTCATTGTTTAAGTGGCTGCAATGTTTGCAGTGGACACTCAACACACTCACTTTCTGGTAGAACAGGTTACATGTTCGAACATCAGCTGAAATAACTATACTGCATCTAATAGATAAAATCGAGTTCGATTCGAAGAAGCTGAAGGTTAGCTTGACAGGTATGAATGACCCTTACTTCATTGTTTAACAAATTTGGAGGCCCCAGAAATGTCAGTTTCTTCCAACGTCAAGTACTCGAACATTACTCCATTCATTGATCTGAGACCTCTACGGAAACTTGGTGATGCTCCCTCGCTTGAACACCGTCGTTCCCGAAGATGAATATGGTCATTTTACTGATTCGATGTAGTGACTTTGCAAAACCATACTACAGAAGAAGCGAGATCATGTTTTCTCGCTCTTGTGTACATCCTTCGTTTAACATGTTCCAATATCCATCAGATCTTCAACTGCGTGGTGACCTAGTTTGGTGATTTTATTCGGAATAATTCAGAGTCGCTCATGAATGGCATTACAACAAGACGCAGGATCGTATATCATTTCGATACATTTGGCGCCAAAACGACCGTTTTTGTGGAGCCCAGACTGCACATTAGAAGTAATGAAGATCGTTCGAATGTCGTTACCCTAGTGATAGCGGGATGTGACGGTCAGGGATTCCTTCAACACAGGAGTTCTCATCAAGTTTTCGAACCCACAGCTTGCGACTGGAGCAACATGTGAGTCAACGCTAGTATGCCAATCTACAGCATGCTCTGCGACGGAAGCACCAAGCCATGCAATTTCTCGATGGGTGTTGTCCGAGGAAGTCGCTTCTGTGCGGCGGGAGGACTTGCACTTGATGGTTTCTCGTCAAAACCCGCTGCGCGTCCTTTCATCCATAGCCTGTGCCCGATATACAAAACCATATTCAACCTGCTGGTAGTCGCCTATGTCACGAGCTTAAAGGTGTTCTATGATCACTTACTGCCCGAATCCAGAGATACGCAGGAGAAGAGCTCAGATCGCTGAGACTCTGAAAAAGCGCTCAAGTTTACTGAGGGGCATTGGAAAAGTCCCAGGCTGCGGAAGTGCAGTTATGATTTTTGTCAGAAAATTTAAATTTCCCTGTGAGCTAACCTATCAACAGTGCAGAAGTAGTACCGATTGTCGAGGAATATATCAACACACCTCTAATTGATAGCTGGGATGACGGCGAGGTCTCGGAAGTGTATCGTTTATCGCCCTTTAAATTGCAGTAGCTAGAAACGCCCACGATTGAGTTCGAATTATTGAGTCGTTCTTCGCTGTGTATTACGTAAGCTACGATGTAAATCCATTTACTACCAAAAAAGCGGTACGATTCATGCACATGTGCATGTTATGCTCATATCCTGGCGCCTCTTTTGACAACCAGTGAAATCAAGGTATCTTGACGGGCAACATATAGCGAATCAGGTTCCATGTCTTTGATTATCGACTGAATTTGCGCTTAATCCATTTCGCCATTCCCTCAACTTTCCGGCACCTCGAATCTACCGCATACTATGCCTCGCCCGTCGCGTCATCTTTGGGCCTGGGCATGCATATACTAGGCTTAGCTGCTGGTTCCCTTTCCGGCCAACTCCAGGGACCGCTGAAATAGCCACTTCATCGGTGCTTTTTCACGAGTCTGTTCGTGGTCGTCGTCTCAGGCTTCAAATCTTCAGATCTCAATCCTCAGGACCTTATAAATGTTGCTGTGCAATGATTCTTTGCACTGTCTCATAAATCGTCGTGTTGAAGATGGGATATATGAATTTCCATTAGTATCTCACATCCGAGTCTGTCGGCAACCTAGAGGGCAACAAACCTTACCCCAAGCGGCCCAGGCCTGTCTATGGTCCAAGAGCGAAACGGTCGTTCGTCACAACAAGGGGTAATATGGGGTAATATATCGGTAAAGTGTCGAACAGCCGCCCCTTGTTATGACGCACTGGTTGTCCCCCACTGTCAAAGCTTATCTGCCACTTTGTATTTAACGCAGGGGGAAACTACATTAGATCATTTGCAAACTCCATGGCCACACCAACCATCCCTTTGGAGCTCACACCTAGAGTTATCGCACGGCGCATGGTATGTTAACCGCCTACTTGTATCTGACCTTATCCTCACAAAGTGCTATCAATCAAATCCTCATTAGGACACGCGCCAGCTGCATGGTCCTGACTTCCCTGACACGCTCTCGGATGTGTCTTATCCTCCCCAATCACAGAAACCTAGACCGCTTTTGTTCTGGTTTGGTTATCCTATCGACTTTGGGAAGCTCGAAGCTTTCGTGAAAGAACAGAGTCCTCTCTACCCTGATCTCTCTCAGGATCGTACTCGCAGCGAGGGGATCAACCATGCCTGGAATCGCATCTTCATCATCGGCGTCATCCGCAAGATCTTTGGGGAGTCGACTCGATTGATACCCGTGTATGGCCGCAGGAAGGGCAAACCCATCATAGTCATGTCTTTCTACTGCAACTTTGACGCTCCAGGGAGAGTGGTGCATGAGAACGAGAAGGCGTTTGCCCTTAAGTTCACGAGTTTGGAAGGGGAACCAAGATGGTACCTTGACTGGCGCCGCAACCCAGTACCTGATCCCCCGGACCGAGTTGAGGTGCGTTAAAATGGATATTATCCTTGCCAACCGTTGACTTTACTTTGTATTCCTACCTAGAAATCCACTGTATGATCTTTATGTCTCACTTTTGCCGTGAATGACCGTAAAATAGCTATCAGCCTATGTACTAGCATGTATGATAAGAGTTGGCCGCAATGAACACCTTGATGTATTTTGAGATAACGTGCTGTTGCGCAGATGACTCGCGACATACAGATCATTGTGAGCAACATAGACATACATTTTTGTTGCACGATACCAGTTATCAAATCTACATAAAGAATCCTAAAATCAACCACTACAAAACCCACTATGTAAGGCGGTGTGAAATGCATATCTCGATAAAATGTATTTATGAGGGATGTCCGTCAATTACATACAGTAATTTTAAATAAATGTTGGCCACCCACGAAATCAGGAATGAAATGAATAGTCTGTAATGAAATCAACAGATAGTCTGTAATAAAATTAAGAAGAAATCAGTAGAGCATCATAACGCCCCCAATCAGTGCAGCTCCCACAGATACACTGATGGCTGTGACCTGGTTCCTGATACCGGCCCATCCCGGGTTTGCAACACCATTCGTAGAAGGCCCAAATGTCTGTGCGAATTGTGAGAGAGAATTTGGTACGCCGCTAACGGTCACTGTTGGGGCTGAAGCGGGACTCGGGTTGCTCCCTGTGGCATTGGCGTCCACAACGGTGAAACGGGAGGAAACGGAGTAGGTAATGCCAGCGGTGGAATTGATGCAAATCAGGAAGTAGTCGTCGCCTGCTGGTACGTCTTGGAGGACAACGTTGAGGGCACTCGTGGTGATAGGCACTATTAGTGACAATCAGAGCTGTCCTACGTAAGAGAAAATAGTAGTATGAAGGCTTACATCCTTTTGCCACAAAATAAATCCCAACCCGGCTAAGTCGCGTTATCTCAATATCGAAGCTATCAATGCCATCCTCCAAGCCTAACGTCCATGAAACCGGATAAGGTGAACCATTCTTCCAAGACGTGGATGATCCGGGCTGATTCACAACAAAATCTGACGCCCAGCCCGGTCATCTGTCAGTACCCATTGCGGCAATGAGAAAGGCCTAGAGCACACTCACAGGCATCAACAGAGATAAGTGATGAGAGCATCAGCATTAAAATGAATGGAACGATTTGCCAAGAGCGAAGACACCCTAAGAGAAGCATCGTTGGACGCGGCGTGGACGGACTGGGCGAGGGCCTGACTGTTCTAAAACGAGTGCGGTGGTAAGAGTGCGGAGTAAGGAGCACAGGAAGGGCATTCGCATGCACCCATTGGCCTCGTGTTAGTGAACGCCCAGGTACAATGTTGATCGGGATTTGTCATTGTTTGCAATTTTCAGGGATCCAATGGTCCAAGCCTTATAATTAACGTTCAACTTCACTATAACAACCTACATATATTTATAGACATATCTTATATACCTCTTTCATCAGCTGCTCACTCTCCAGATGCCTTGCGACTCTTGCGAGTTTATTGACAACACGGCGCCTCGGCCTATTCCAAAAGCGATGCGGCGACACACTCGGTACTACAGTGATCGCTATTAGGAGTTGATCGTTCGAACGTTGAGTTCTAGAATAATGACTGGCAGTATGAATTAACCGTTGTTAATTTACCCCCATATAGCGTGTGAGTTTTGGCGTACTTTGGGAGGGTCTATCTGGGAATCGTTAATTCCGGGAGTGGCACGTGGCCGTGATATAGATATCCGAGCTCGTTGTTTCTCACAGCTGCAGCATGCTGCCTGTCGTCGGCCCCTGGCAGCGCCAATGTACACCGGCATACTTCGGTCCCGTGCCCGACAACACACTCTGGCACTAAGGGCACGTGCACCCAGCCCTCTCTTTATTACCCAACCCCTTATTCCAGCTCCTTCGGATATCTGGCTTCGCCACCTTCGGAGATCTTTCTTCATCTCTGCCACCACCTTCGAGTCCTTCGTTTCGTTATTTTCAGGGACATGGTGCTGCGAGCGGTATTGGTGGTGCACGATAATATGACTTGAGGCGCTACATAGGGTAAGATGATGTTTTGACTTTATACACTTTGGGGGTGTGAGTTTGGGTGATTTTGGAGACATAGGATAGGATGTAGCCGCTGGCCATCATGGAAACGTCATACAGATTCCAGAACGAAAGCACTGGAAAGTGTATCGTGATTACTAGGCTAACGGAACAAAAGACAAACTACCGCAGCTCTTCGCAACCTTCCAGAGTTTGAGACAGTGAAGAAAAATTCGTTTGTGCTTGCTGTATCCAGTGGTATTGAATTCCGTTCACCTTTTCTACCATTCTGGCGCTAAACAAGCTTCGCAGCCTGCTTCTGCACCCATCAAGAAGACTGCGATCAAAAGTTCGTCTTGGTCTCTACCTGATCCTTCTGATTGGAACCAGTGGGACTGGCCCACCCTGATTCACGCATGGCAGTTGTTTGAAAGCCTCTGAGCGCATCGTGCATTTACCTCTACAGATTCTCCTATAGTATCTCATGCTCCTTGTACATCGTCATCGCCATTGATGCCGACCCCCACGCTGCGATTGTCGGAACATCCAAAATTCGCCATAACACTAGCAATTTGTTGCAGACAGAGCAGGATGCCAGTGGGCAGTCCGCGGGCGTAAAGTTACATGGAATATCTTGGATGGTACTATCTCGAGCCGTTATCGGATTCGCGGCCCGATGACCTCGCAATGAGTAAAAAAGCGTTGGTCGTGCGTGCAGATCGGAGCACTCACAGCTAAAGTTTGTTCACACAATTATTCGGTAGCCCAACCTACAGTCTGACACACGAGTCACAGCGAGTAAATGAGACAGCACAACACCATAACACGATCATCGAAAGGTTCAAGTAGATGAATGGCATTAATTCGAATATTTTGTCCAGATTAAATTTGAATCATCTACATCATGCAGCGAGATACAAGCCCAGATGCTGGCAAGATGCAACAAAAATTGAAAACAAAATTGAACATTAAAAACACGTATCCACGTCTAAAAAAATTGGGGTTGTGTACTGTGCTGGTTCAGGTTTGATATACATAGGTCTGAGATGCCCAAATTGATGCGTTGATGTCAGCCACAAGCGCGTCTGAGTTGCGTTTGCTAATCACGCGCCTGTGTATTGAGGTACTGCGCTGCCTCGTCTCAATGCCATCGATCCCTTGTGCCTCTTCTCTAAATCTCAATAACTGTCACTTGCTCAAATGCTCAGCTCAAAGCAATTTCTAAATAAACGAAAAAGTGTTCACCTGCACCTTCTGCATGCACGGCAACAAATCAAGGCCACCGAGAAGGAAAATCATGGATTCAGAGCAAAATCATTATGACATGAACAGAGACTTGTAGTGGGAGTGTGCTTGCGAGCATAAAGTCTCACTTGAACGAGGCTGTTGAAAAGCTGTCTATATGCACTCTCGAGGTCCATCAGCAGAAACAAGAGCTTGCGAAGAAGACAACACTACTCGCCAATGTGAATGGCACAATGATTTCGTTGCAAGCAAGCCTGGGATGGCATTCACGTGGTTGGGGGTGGAGTTCAGAAGGACTAGAGACCAGTCTCAGCGTTGTAGACAGAACCACTATGTCATTAATAGTACCTAAGAGACGAGTCTGAAGATGAAACAACGTAAGTGAGAGACAGTGTGCAAAGAACATAGACTATACCTCAATGTTGTAGACAGAACCGCTGAGGTACAAATAAAGCGACACGAGATTATATAGTACAGTATAGAGTCCATGTTGAATGTTGCACATCCAACAATACAAATACTCCACAGGGAGCTTATCAAGGAGAACATGCTGTAGGACCATATATCCGTCACATAGTGAAGAATGTATGGTTGGAGCTAGTTGCGTTATCAATCTATTCAAAACAGTGAGGATGCAAAAGTGAGACACGAGAATTCAGTCGCACCGAATCCCGCAAGAGGCCAAGAACCAAGGCTAGACCTTCGAGATTCTGTCCCAGAGTGTATTCGGGAGAAGATAGGACTAGCCCAGTATCATCTGTATGCCTTTCGTACACGAAGAATATCCACTGTTCTCCGCTGGTGACAACACCCCTGATGACAGATAAGCTATCATAAAGTTAGACTACGTCACGGAACATAGAACGACAGAGAGCTGACCCCTGCAATTGGCAATACGAAGCCGCAGCAATTGCAGCCTGAGACAGAGCGGCCCGAACGTTATCGCGCTTGGTTTCGAAGATGTTGGACGTCATTGGTCCCTTGATGTTTTCGGGATTCGCCAGTGCTGTGGTCGGGTCGCCCAGGAGGTATTCTAAAGAACAATTCAAAGCCATTCCAGCACGCGACATAAAATAACTAACCGGTGTACCGAGCGGGGAGTTTAGTCACCAGGAAGTCGACGACGCCACTAAACGAATACTTGCCAGAGTCTCGGTTGAAGATCGTTCTAGGGATAGGGAATTCTGGAATTATGTTCGCCGTCGTGTCACTCAGACACATGACCGATACAACTCTCAACAAGAGTATGTTGATCAAGATGCGACATCCAGCTTCTGTCTTTGGAGTTTAAATGAATATACAGTCGATCATGGAGCCTAGCCATCGTAACATACCACCGTTGCGACATGGCCGCGCACTGAAATCGTGCAGTGTCAATCGGAAGACACCCTGATATTTCGGCCAATCCAAGGTTTTCGATTTCTTGCTTCTTGTCGCTGATCAGAAAAAGTGGACCAGACGATATCCTCAATGAAATAAGCGTTATTGGATCCACCTTGGAGAAGGAAGTGTGGTAAGGAGAGGCTGATCAGCCCTGTGAACAATTCAGCGTCATTCAACCTTCATCACCTTAACGTCTTCCAATTTGTCACGCAGTTCTTGGAGTTTATCGATCAGACCAGCAGGTAAATCCTCGTCTCCTTCATCAAGGTTGGCACGAAATTCCTGGAGCTTACGAAGCAATTCGTTTGTATCTCCTGCAGTTAGGTCTGAAAGCTTTCGTCGTTTGGAAATGGGAGGCATAATGTGAGATACACCGACAGATGCGAGAGACAGGGGTTTGATTGTCGGCGTTGATTGCGGCTCAAGCGCTCATGCGTGAGTTGAAGATCAAGCTTGGGTGGCTTGCATATGTCGCCTAAACTGCGAACGTGACACGTAAGTGACGTGACGGCTCATGCCAGTGGAGGGGAGGTTTGTTTCTTGAAGTGTCGCATGACCTCGATCAAGCTTTGTGCCCAGTCGACAACCAAAAGTCCCTGCAGCTCCGCTTTGCCACGCACATAGCTGCCACCCAGGGGTAAATCTCAGTGCCATTCATTGCGTCCTGCAGCTACCTTCTGCTTACAATTTTGTGGCTGGCCCATCTGAGTTTCCGCTGGCTCTGACTCTCTACACTCGGGTTGTCACTCCACCCGCGTGATCCTCTCTAATAATTCTCCTACGCTATCTCATACTCCAGCTCCTTGTGGATCGCCATTCACTTCCAAAGTGCTTCTTGCATAGTCGAACATGCGCACGCGGTTTCAATCAAGACCAGAACTCAACACGATTCTTTCCTAAAGGCCAAGGGGCGAGGTGGACGTCCAAGCGATAAGCAGGATATCCATGGAATACAAAATACTATGGTCTGTGGGAAAATGTAAGGGTGAATTCTTATGCATGCGCGCAGCAAGGAAATCGATGCCAGATAGGATTGGGTGATTAACAATAAAATAACGTCGGGCCTAAGCTCCCGTGAAACGTTCAAAGAGAAGCACTGGGATGCCAATGTGAGAATTCCTCATACACTGACGTTTGCTAATTGTGACGTAGGTTTATGTAACTGTTCCCACCTTTGGATATACTTAGGTACATAATTATACCCCATCTTGGAATGCGACAGTCAAGAATAGTCAAGAATTCGTAGTCAATTGATAATATCCAGCTGTTGCACGAAGCGCATGCATGACGAGATCACCCACGTACGTATCACTGTGTAATCACCTTCTACGTTCCGATCCATTTCAATTATCATTACGGCAAGATCATGATGGCTAGCGGCGCACCACCCACCTGAAAGACGCCCGCGTCTTTTGTGTATGTCGCAACACCATGTCGTGTCCTTGCGCTCACCATTTTCCCCTGCACAGCAATCTGTATTGTACGCGTCCGTTGCTCACTGCAGCAGAACGTTCAACATAGCCTTCCTTCCGCTGAAGGATTTGTCAACGTGTGTCGTGCTGAAAGAATCTGATTGACGCCTGAGCGGAAGCGAACAGACTCTTCATTTATGCACTTGTAGTACGCATGCCGTAGCCGTCATGCGCGACCCACCTTGTAGATAGTCTTATAAACCCGAACGGACGCCCGGGTGAGCACTAGCTTCCTGCTACCTCCGTTCTCCCTAAGCAGCGGTTGCCATGAACCTCCTTTCATATTTTTGGCTTTTAACCTCCATCTGGTTATGTCTGGCTGCAGCTCCTCCAAGGACGATCTCCAAGAGAGGTAGCAGCTCATTCGTGAGCTCTAGTAAAGATGGGTTTTCTGTCAACGGGAGGTAAGCGTGATACCTTTTATCAACATATCATGTGCAAACACATTGCACCATAGCTCACTTAGATTCGTCGGGACAAACTTGTACTGGCTGTCGACGTTGGAATCGAACGATGACATCTGGAATGTGCTGAAGAACATATCTGATACCGGTATCAAGGTCGTCAGGATTTGGGCATTTAATGGTTCGTTCATCGTCTGTCTACCGAGATTCGCGATTTTAGTGTCTTGATTGACAGATGTGGAAACCATTCCGGAGACCGGAACGTGGTTTCAGTTGGTACAGAACGGCACTACCACAATCAACGATGGACCAAATGGACTGCAGAAACTTGATACAGTGGTTCAAATGGCAGAACAACAAGGGCTATATGTTATCTTGTCACTAACGAATAACTGGAATCCAGTACCTAACACGACATCATCCGGCACTGCATCACCTGATGTGCTTGCGTCTGTCAGTATTCCGCGTAACACTCTTTCAAACGACTACGGTAAGTCAACACTGCACTTGATGTTCAAGACAAATCAACGATTTTACAGGCGGTATGGATCTATACGTCCGCCAGTTCGGACTTCAGAACCACGACGATTTCTACACGAACGACAGTATCTTAACCGCCTTCCAGAATTACACCAAGCAGATCGTATCACGCTATTTCAACAGCCCTGCTGTGTTCAGTTGGGAACTTGCAAATGACGCCAGGTAATTCACCCTGTGTATCTACCGCCTTGGAACATGTCCCTTATCATGTGTCAGATGCAACTCGACCATTCCCACTAGTCCAACGTGTACCACACAAACCGTCACACAGTGGCACGCTGTGATGGCTGCATTCATCGCGTCCCTCGATCCCAACCACATCGTCTCCGCTGGGTAAGTATCATACAGTGTTGTTTTAGGGTTGTGATTCTCAATTTCCCGTAGAACGTCCGGATTCCAATGCACAGATTGTCCGAAGTTGTACCCCATTACACCAACAGCTTCGCCTACGCCCTCTCCCGCACCTGGCAAGAAGCGCAGAAGCGTCGCCCCTTTGACAAAAGAGCAGATCATAAGGCAGCATGCTGAGTCGAGACGCCAAAACAGGGCGGCCGCTAAGCGTGCAGGAACTTTGAAGGAAGATGGGATAATGATAAGAGGTCGCTGGGTATCTACAGGTGCTTTGGTCAATGTCATCGAATGGCGATGTTTCTTATCATTTTTCAGCAACGCGAGAAGTCTCCAGCTCGATTGGCCCCACAACGGATGGTTCATCTGGTGTCGACAGCCAGGACATCCTTAACATTCCCAACATAGGCTTCGGTTCCTTCCAAGTATTTCCCGATCAGAACACGTACGCTCCCAATGACCCAAACCTCAACACCGTCCAAAACAAGATCAACTCGAGTCTTACGTGGATCCAGCAATCAGCACAGTCTGCTGCTGCGTGAGTTCGAATTTGGCTCAGTCAATAACTAGCTTACATTCCTTTCAGCGTTGGGAAACCTGTTGTCCTCAACGCATTCGGTCTAGTCACCCAATCCAATTTGAACAATTACGTTCCGTTCAACTTGACTTATGCTCCTTACGCATCCAGCACAGGTAATATTGTCGCAGTTCAACGGTCGACAACCACGTACTCATGTTCTTATCCTCGCAGCGGTCACGGGTGTCACCGCAGTGGTCTTGGACGCCACTTCAACGACAGA